GGTCGGGCAGGAGGTGGTCGTTACGAGGTGGAAGAGGTAAGGAAGGAGGGAGGAGAGAGAGAAGGAGGGAAGAGGGAGAAGGGAAGAGAGGAAAGAGAGGGAGGGAAGAAGGGGAGAGAGGGAAACAGAGAAAGAGAGAGAGAGGGAGGAAAGAAAAGCGTCTGCCACTGAGGGTCGGGCAGGAGGTGGTCGTTACGAGGTGGAAGAGGTAAGAAAGGAGGGAGGAGAGAGAGAGAAGGAGGGAAGAGGGAGAAGGGAAGAGAGGAAAGAGAGGGAGAAGAGAAGGGAAAGAGGGAGACAGAGGGAAGGAGAGAACCACGTCTGCCACTGAGGGTCGGGCAGGAGGTGGTCGTTACGAGGTGGAAGAGGTAAGGAAGGAGGGAAAGAGAGAGAAGGAGGGAAGAGGGAGAAGGGAAGAGAGGAAAGAGAGGGAGGGAAGAAGGGGAGAGAGGGAAACAGAGAAAGAGAGAGAGAGGGAGGAAAGAAAAGTGTCTGCCACTGACGGTCGGGCAGGAGGTGGTCGTTACGAGGTGGAAGAGGTAAGAAAAGAGGGAGGAGAGAGAGAAGGAGGGAAGAGGGAGAAGGGAAGAGAGAGAAGGGAAGAGAGGAAAGAGAGGGAGGGAAGAAAGGGAGAGAGGGAAACAGAGAAAGAGGAAGGGAGGGAAGAGGAAGGAAAGAGGAGGGAGAGGGAAAGAGGGAGAAAGGGAGACAGAGGGAGAGAGGAAAGAGGGAAGGAGAGAGGGAGAGAGGAAAGAGGGAAGGAGAGAAGAAGAGAGGGAGGGAGGGGGAGAGGGAGAGAGTGAGAGGAAGGAAAGAGGGAGAGAGGGAAAGAGGGAGAAAGGGAGAGTGAGGGAGGAGGAGGAAAGAGAGAGGGAGAGGGAGAGAGAGAGGGAAAATATTATGGCCACTTTCTATGTTTTTCGTGAAATGTTTGCCGATAGATGGCTCTGCTCGCGCCTGATTTGAAATGGCGGGAAAAAACGTATTTCTCTCTAGTGCTATGAAAATCGATGGTGTTATTTTTATCATAAACATTATAATCTTTATAATGTTTTTATTAACATTAGTAACAGCAAAACAAGATTACGTAAAATAATTTTGTAAAAGAAACGGGTAAACGGGCGAGACGGGCGGTACTCGTAGTTGGCTCATTGGTGATTCAGTACAAGTGTTGCCATCTATGCGTAAAAACAATCAAACAAGTACTCACGGTGGGCCTAGCATGTACTTACACGTCGTACCCGGCACCAATGGGTTAACCCATTCGCCACACGTGGCAAGAATAGATGCCATACCCACTTTGATACACGTTTATTTATTATATTTACACATAGATGGCTCTACAAGTTCTTAATCACCAAAATAGCCAGTTATCAAGAACTACCTATTTCACCTGTTTACCCTTTTCCTTCACTTTAGGAAAAGTTTTTTTGTATCATTTCATTGTCAAAAATATTCTAATGACAATTAAATAATCATAACATCAATAACAATAATAACAGTAACGAAAGCAATAGTATTAATTTTCCCGCCAATTCAATGAATGGAAAAATCAGGGTCGGTAACTAGGGCCTACTGATAGACTCCTTGCCGGCTGAGCACATGTGGAGCCATCTGTATGTAACAAAATTCACCAAAAACTACAGGGGACAGAACATAAATCCGTGGCGAATGGGTTAACATTTAGATTAACATTGAAAAAGATTAAGATTAACACTTAAGATTAACATTTAAGAAGAATTTTTAAGAATTGCTAAATGAAGAAAATGTAAGAATTGTTAACTAAGAATATTAACTTTTCAGAAAAAATATTCAAGAATATTTAAGAATTGTTAACTAAGATTGTTAACATTTAAGAATAATATTTAAGAATATTTAACTAAGATTATTAACATTTAAGAATAATATTTAAGAATATTTAACTAAGATTATTAACATTTAAGAATATTTAACTAAGATTATTAACATTTAAGAATATTTAACTAAGATTATTAACATTTAAGAAGAATAGTTAACTAAGACAACTAAGAATATTAACATTTAAATAGAATATTAAAGAATATATAAGAATATTTAAGAATAGTTAACTAAGATTATCAACATTTAACAAGAATATTTAAGAATAGTTAACTAAGATTATTAACATTTAAATAGAATATTAAAAATATATATAAGAATATTAACATATAAGAATAATATGTAAATATTTAAGAATATATCAGAATATTTAAGAATATATAAGTATTTAAGAATGATATGTAAATATTAAAGAATATATAAGAATATTTAAGAATATTTAAGAATAGTTAACTAAGATTATCAACATTTAACAAGAATATTTAAGAATAGTTAACTAAGATTATTAACATTTAAATAGAATATTAAACAAATATATAAGAATATTAACATATAAGAATAATATGTAAATATTTAAGAATATATCAGAATATTTAAGAATATATAAGTATTTAAGAATAATATGGAAATATTAAAGAATATATAAGAATATTTAAGAATAATATGTAAATATTAAAGAATATATAAGAATATTTAAGAATAATATGTAAATATTAAAGAATATTTAAGAATATTTAAGAATACCTCTTGTTCCAGGTACTGGCTCTACGGAGAAAGGAAAACTAGCTCATCCACCCTTCCTTCTCCTCCTCCTCCTTTATCATCATCTCCTCTTCCTTCTTCTTCTTCCTCGTTATCATCACCTCCTCCTCTTCCTCCTCCTTCTTCCTCCTCTTCCTCTTCAGCAACTCGTCACCGCGGTTGGTTTCCGAGAAGATGTGCCGTCCAGGTCATGTACGAGGGGAAGAAGACGCGATAAGGGATAAAGGAGGGAAGTGGGAGAAACTGCAATAAAAGAGGAAATGGAGAAACGGTAATAATGGAGGAGATAGAGGGAGGAAGTGATAAAGGAAGGAGATAAAGGGAGAGAGTGATAACGGAGGAAAGAATAAGGGATAAAGGAGGGAAGTGGGAGAAACTGCAATAAAAGAGGAAATGGAGAAACGGTAATAATGGAGGAGATAGAGGGAGGGAGTGATAAAGGAAGGAGATAAAGGGAGAGGGGATAAAGGAGGGAAGTGGGAGAAACTGCAATAGAGGAGGAGATAGAGGGAGAGAGTGATAAAGAAAGGAGGTGGAGGGAGGGAGTGATAAAGGAAGGAGATGGAGGGAGAGAGGGATAAAGTAGGGAAGAAGACACAATAAAGGATAAAGGGTGGAAGAGAATAGTAAAGGAAGGAAATGGGATAATCGAAGATGAAGGAGGAGATGGAGAGAGGGAGTGATAAAGGGAGGAAGTGGGAGAAACTGCAGTAAAGGAGGAGATGGAGGGAGAGAGTGATAAAGGAAGGAAGTGAGATAATCAAAGATAAAAGAAGGAGACAGAGGGAGAGAGAGTGATAAAGGAGGGAAGTGAGATAATCAAAGATAAAAGAAGGAGACAGAGGGAGAGAGAGTGATAAAGGAGGGAAGTGAGATAATCAAAGATAAAAGAAGGAGATGGAGGAAAGGAAGAAAAGAAGTAAATAAGAGGAATAATGAAATGTAGAAGAAGGAAGAGGAGGAAAAGGAAAAGAGAAAGAGAAAGAAGGAGAAAGAGGAAGAGGAAGAAAAGAGAAAGAAAGAAAAAGAAAGAGAGGAAGAGGAGGAAATTGAATAAGGAAATAAGGAAGAGAAGAGAGAGAATGGTAGAGGAGGAGGAAAAAGAGAAAGAGAGAGAAAGAAAGAGAGAGAGAGGAGAAAAGAGAGAAAGAGGAATGGAGAAAGTAAGAGAAAGAGAAAGAAAGGAGGACATAGGAGAGAGAACAATGAGGTGGAGGAAGAGAAAGAGAAAGAGAGAAAGAAAGAAAGAAAAAGAAAAAGAGAGAAAGAAAGAAAGAAAAAGAAAGAGAAGGAAGAAAAAGAGAGAAAGAAAGAGAGAAAGAAAGAGAAGGAAGGAGAAGAGGAAGAGAAAGAAAAGGACGACAAGAGAGAGAAAGAGAGAAATGAGAAAAGAGGAGAAAGAGAAGAAGAAGAAGAAGAAGAAGAAGAAGAGGAAGAGAAAGAAAAAGACAAAAAACAAGAAAGTAAAATAAACTTAAAAAAAAAAAAAAAATGTACAAGTAATTTTTTTTTCAATTATATTAAGGAAAATAAACTTTTTTATTATTTAAAAAAGATATATGTATATTTCCATTATTATTATTATTATGATTATTATTATTATTGTCATCAATATTATTATTATTGTTATAAATTTTATTGTTATTATTAATGTTATTCATATTATTATTATTATTATCATCATTATTGTTATTATTTTTATTATGATGATTATTATTATTATAATTTTTTAATTATCATTATTATTATCATTATTTATTTATTAACATCATTATCATCATTAATATTTTTATTGATTAATTAATTAATCTTATTTTCAATATTTTCTATTTCATTTTCTTCCTTTTTATCATTGTTATGTTATTATTATTATTATTATTATTATTATTATTATTATTATTATTATTATCATCATCATCGTTATAATTATTATTATTATTATTTTTATTAATATTATTATTATTACCATTGTTATTATCACTATTACTATTATTATTAACAACATTCATATTATTATTATCATCATCATTATTATTATTATCATTATTATTATGGGTATTATCATTACTATTATTATTACTATTATCATTATCATTATTATTATTATTATTATCATTATTATCAATATCATCATTATTATTATTATTATTATCATTATTATTAGTATTATCATTATTATTATTATTATTATTATCATTATTATTAGTATTATCATTATTATCATTATTATTATCATTATTATTAGTATTATTATTATCATTATTATCATCATCATTATTATTATTATTATTATTAAGGTTAACAATATTATTATCTCTATTATAACTAGTATAACTGTTACATTAATTGCCATCATCAAAACAATATAATAATTATTATTA